TTGATAGGGCATGAAAAGAGGCAGTGGATTGAGAAGGAAAAGCATCTACACAAACCCATGTATTTCATGGAAAATAGAGGTTGCAGGTGGTTACAGGAAGAAAAGTGTTTGAAAGGTTACTGCAATGCCAAAACCAAAGGTGGACAGAAATGATTTACTACGCTATCAAGTATCTGTGGGCTTCTTGTCTCTGCTTCTGTCCCAGGCATCTGTTTTCCTTGGTGCACTGCTTGGTACATATGGGAACATGCAGGCACCTTCCTTCTGAAATGCAGAACTTTGCCCTCGTTTCCTTATTTTTTACTAATTTAGTTGCATCTTTACGCTATGGTTTGACACGAATGCCTATTAAATAAAGGAAATGCAAGAAGGAGCCTAAGTTAGAATAAGTAAGAGAACAGTTATGCAGTGGCTTTCTGTAGCCATCTCTGTAACTTGCTGGGCACTGCTCAGGAAAATTCAGCTCTGCTGCTTTCACTTCAGAGCAAGCTGTAGCTGGGCTGACTGCTCTCAGGGAAAGCTGCACTACATGGCAGCAAATGCAGAAGCTTCTTGGAAAACATGTCCAGAAATAGGCTGGGAACAAAAAAATGCATTCATATTTAATAAAACCCCTTTGTTTACTTGAGTGACAGAAGATTAGGAAATGTCTTCAAACATATCTACACATTTTATGAGAGAAAATTCCTATCTGGACATTTCCTTGGAGCTGAAATGGATACATGCTGACAAAGAACTCCTGGAAGCATTAGGTCAGCCAAACAATTGCCTGAAATGCAGTTTTCCTTTTTAAAACTAATGTGAATGAACCATACCTTAGTGAATGACAGGATCCCTTTCCATATCCTGTTTTATATTGGTTTCCATTTAGCCTAGGTTAGCATATAATTACTATGTTTGACAGCAGCAATTGTGGCATTTTATAATTTGGGTTTTCCCTTTGCAGGGAAGAGTGACCTGTAATTAATTTGACAAAAAACTCAAGCGAACCACTGAGCAATAATTCTCCCACCCAAGTTCTTCAAAATCAAACACTTTTAAGAAATGGCATCCAGGAATGCAAAGGGTCTTATAGTGTCTCTGTCTCTGGAGACATATCCACGTATCAAAACATGCTATGAAAACTTCAGTGATCTTTCAATTAAAATCTTAATGCCTTCTAAATAAACAGAAACGTTTCTGTTCTTGACAGCCTCTTGCTCTAGCACTGCGTATTTAGTATCAGTTTTCTGTATTATTCTATGGATATTATTTTGGGCCTGGGCAGAGTAACACGAATATTTATTTTAAAGGACTGAATTTGGTCCAAGTTTTTGCAAGCCCGGTCACACATCCCCTGAGCACAGACACGCTTCTCTGGGAAATTACAGCTGTGCAATGCAGTGCCTGCAAATCATTTGCCGGTGAGCGTGAAGATGAAACAGGTCTGCAGAAATCTGTGACAGTAACCGTGCATGCATCTTAAGGCCATTGGTGTAAGGTTGGATATGTTAGGCAATGCTCGAAGGTGAGGGATGGGTGATGCGTGTGACAGCAGTGACTGCAGTGTCAGCGCTGCAGGGCCCTTCGGAAGCACGGGCGGTGCCCGGGGCGGAGTGTCTGGTACCGCCGCCACGCCAGGGTTGCTCGCTGCGGCCACGGGGAGCGCGGCGCGGGCGAGGCGGCACCGCTCGCTGTTGCTGCCGCTTTCTGCACGGAACCCGCTGCTGAAAACAATGCAGGCGCTCGTAGGGCCGCACTGCGCGGGCTCCACACACTCCACAGGCTCCAGAGGCTCCCGAGGCCTCGGAGGCCGAGCAGATGCAGAAGACGAAGAGGGCAGCGAAGCAAATGCACGAGAGCCCTTCTGGAGGCTGCAGGGCTCCTGGAAATGGAGCCCGGGGGCGGCGGGATTCACGCGCTACTGCTGCGGAAACGCTGAATCACGGCAGGCCCGGTTGGTCCCGCCGATAGGGCCGAGCCGTGTGGGCTGAGTCCGGCTCCGCGGCACCGCCCCCGCCTCTCCCTCCGCGCTGCGGCCCCGCCTGGCTCGGCCCGGCCGCTGCCCCCGCCCCTGTCACCCAGGGGTGGCACAAAGCCTCCACGGGACTCGCTCGCAGTTGCCGTAGCGCCGGCTTCTGCTTCGCGGCGGAGTCCCGGCTCCTTCTCGCAGGACGAGGATGCGCGGCCTGGTGGTCGCTGCTTTCCTGCTGCAGATCGTCGCCGAATCGGGCGCGTTGGCCTCACGAAGGAGGAATGTGGACCCCGAAACGAACATGAACATCGTGAGTGCCTGCGGGGAGGAGTGCCCGAGCCTTGTGTGCGGCGCGGCCGCGGGCTGGAGCGGGGCGACGAGCGGCGCAGGGGGAGCCTGGGCGAGCTGGGCAGCGCGGCCGGAGCCCCGGCGGCTGCGGCCACCTGCCAGCGGCCAGCCCGCTGCTGCAGCCCCTCACACCCAGCGCTTACTCGTCCTCTTTCTCTGCTCCTCCTGCCAGCTCCTTCTTGGTCCGCTGTTGCCTATATTTGATCTTTCTCTCACATATTTTTCTAACACAGACCCGTGGATTTTTGCTAGCGGCTCTTTGCGACAGTCTTTCGGAGCCGCTATAAAAGCGGATGTTCGTGAAGTTCCGAGCACCACGCTTCTGTGTTCTTACCCCCCACTGCTCTTCTCCCCATTTGATTTAGTCTTTGGATTTACTCTCTTAACTTTGTTTTCCTTCTGCTGCAGTAGCTAACTCCTGATATATTTCCTGTTGGTAGCCGGTATTACTTGCTCTTTCCTCTGCCCTGTCTAAACTGCCAATTTTTCACATTGGTGAGAAGATGTTTCAAGATAGAAATGTTCAAGTTGTATAAGAACAGAAGTGCTTGGATCGTGTAAATGCAGTTTAAAGGACTGAAAATAGTAATTTAGTCTAAGGATAATACCATTGGAATAGCACTTAGCCTTAAAATAATTTTGGAATGTTAATGTCGCTGTGAATAAATACTTATAATACTTATACTTACTTATAAATAAAGACTTATTGAAAAGAAATAGCATGCTTAATTAAATTCTTCTCCTCTTCCTTGCCCGGCAGTCTAAGAGAAGAACTCTGATCATGTCTTGCATTTCTTAGATTTTCTCAAGGCGTGGTTGGTGTCACAAAAGCAATGATATAGCAAGTTCTGTGCCTTAGTGGAGTTGCATCAAATTAAAATTACAAAGCCCAAGACATAAGAGGTGAGAGATTAAACCCCTTAATAAAATCATAGCATTAAACAGGCATGGGGCTTTTTATTATTTTTCTCCTGTTTGCTTTGACAGCAAAGTCAGTTAAAAGCTCTGCACTGGGCATAAGGTTTGAAGAGAAAGGTAAGAAATGGCACATCTTTCTCTCCTTCTATATGCTGCAGTGGTGCCAGTGCCTTTCTTCTGTCCGCACTTATTTTTTACTTGTTTTCTTGAGAGCAGAGTTTAAATTTTTGCTTAACAAATCTGGCTTTTGGTTTTTTGCCCCATTACCATAATCTCCTTTTCAACACTTTATCTTTTTTCTCTCTGTGAGCACCATGTGGCTGAGACAGTCTAGGGAGTCCTTGCAGATTGCTGGGATTCAGTCTGGCTAGGTCTGAGTCAGTGCTGGGATGTCTTATTAAGAAAATCTGCCTGATAGGCAGATGGCACATTACTACCACACCCTTTAATTTCACATTCCAGTCTTTAGAAACCCGGGGTACTTTGCAT